CAACAAAGAATGAAAATCTGTGGGCCTCCCGAATGGTGCAGCGGTCTAAGGCACTGCATTGCAGTGCTAGAGGAGTCATTACAGATCCGGGTTTGATCCCAGGCTGTGTCACAACCGGCTGTGATTGGGAGTCCCATAGGGCGGCACAATTGGCCCAGCGACATGAGAGTTTGGCCGGGGAGTGGGCTTTCCTTGGCTCATCGCGCTCTAGCGACTCCTTGTTGCGGGCGGGTGCCTGCAGGCTGACCTCGGTCGTCAGTTGAACAGAGTTTCCTCCAACACATTGGTGCGGCTGGCTTCCGGGTTAAGAAGCATGGTTTGGCGGGTCATGTTTCAGAGGACGCATGACTCGACCTTCACCTCCCGAGCCCATTGGGGAGTTGCAGTGATGAGACAAAATCGAAATTGGGGGTAAAAAAAAAATATATATATAATAATCTGTGTTCTTATTGGAGAATTTTAGGTAGCGCCTCCTCCTTTCAGCCCATTTCAAAACGTTTTCTCACTGCTGAAAACGACCCAGGTACCCGTTCCCCTTCCTGCTTCTGACTCACTGAAGAGGAACGTTTCGATTGAAAAGGGAATCATCCCCTAACCTTCTCTGCATAATCTCCCATCCCATATTTACACGACCAAACCATACCTGGGAGTGCTACATTTATCATTGAAATAGACTCATTCATCCAGCACCCACACTGAGCGAAACTGAGCAGCGATCAAACAAGACCTGTGCAACATATTCAGCAGCATGCTCCTGCTTGTCGGCACAATAAAGGCCATCAAAAGCATGTAAGGAGAGGCTATGGAATGACCAGTTGCCCGTGATTGTGTTCCCTCCAAATAGGATGTAACTCAGATTCTAGATGCTTAAAGTGGTAATTCAGTGTTACAGTTGTTTGGATTTCAGTGCTAGGTTGTTTGGATATTCATGACCAGTTATGACAGAAGGTTAGTCTGGAGACTTTATGTCAGGTCAGGTAGAAGTAAGGAATTACTGCTACCAAACGTTATTTTTGTATAAAGGACATTTTCTAAAGAAGTACGAGTTATTAATCTTTATACTATTGTTCCAACAGGCCTTGTCTTGCCGCACTTGCAATGCTTCCTGCCAAAATACAGGAGGATTATGACTCAACAACTTGCACAACACAGTTCATTTAAGCATTTTAGAATTTTCTTAAACAAGCCCATTTTGAATTACACTCTGCTACAGTGCCTTTAGCAAGTATTCACACCCCTTGACTTTGTTCACATTTTGTTGTGTTATAGCCTACACACAATACCCCATAATGTCAAAGTGGAATTATGTTTTTAGAGTTTGTTACAAATTAATGAAAGATGAAAAGCTGAAATGTCTTGTGTCAATAAGTATTCAACCCCTTTGTTATGGCAATCTTAAATAAGTTCAGGAGTAAAAAAAAATCAGATAATAAGTTTCATGGGCTCACTCTGTGTGCAATAACAGTGTTTAACATGATTTTTGAATGACTACCCCATCTCTGTACCCCACACATCTGTAAGGTCGAGCAGTGAATTTCAAACACAGATTCAACCACAAAGACCAGGGAGGTTTTCCAATTCCTTGCAAAGAAGGCCACCAATTGGTAGATGGGGTAAAAATAAAAAAGCAGACATTGAATATCCCTTTGAGCATGGTGAAGTTATTAATTACATTTTGGGTGGTTTATCAATACACCCAGTCACTACAAAGATTCAGGCGTCCTTCCTAACTCAGTTGTCGGAGAGGAAGGAAACCGCTCAGGGATTTCACCATGAGGCCAATGGTGACTAAAACAATTACAGAGTTTAATAGCTGTGATAGGAGAAAACTGAGGATGGATCAACAACATTGTAGTTACTCCAGAATACTAACCTAAATGACAGAGTGAAAAGAAGGAAGCCTGTACAGAATACAAATATTCCAAAACGTGCATCCTGTTTGCAATAAGGCACTAAAGTAAAATAAACTTTTGGTCCTGAATACAAAGTGTTATATTTGGGGCATATCCAACTGTCACGGATTCTGCCAAGGCTGCCCCTCCTCCTTGCTCGGGCAGGCTTCGGAGTTCTTCGTCACCGGAATACTAGCTACTGCCGATCTATGTTCTATGTTTCTATGTTGCACCTGTTGTCTGATTGTTACACACCTGTTGCCCATTATGTGATTACTCATTCCCTATTTAACCCAGTGGCTCCCAATGTGTTTTGTGTGTGTTTGCCTTTCGTTGCGTGTGTCGTTGGTGAGCGGGTTTGTTCCTCCCTGTGTGGAGGTATTCTGTATTGTTTTCTTTACTTCTACAGTAAAGTACGTTTCGTACGAGTTTCTTTGTCCAGCGCCTGACTTCGATCCACCGCATTACACTGACACTCGTGACACCAACACAACACATCACTGAGTACCACGCTTCATATTTTCAAGCATGGTGGTGGCTGCATCATGTTATGGGTATGCTTGTCATCGGCAAGGGTGATTTTTGGGATAAAAACAAATGGAATAGAGCTAAGCACAGGCAAAATCTTAGAGGAACACCTAGTGTTGTCTGCTTTCCAACAGACACCGGGAGACCAATTCACCTTTCAGCAGGTCAATAACTTAAAACACAAGGCCAAATCTACACTGGAGTTTCTTACCAAGACGACATTGAATGTTCCTGAGTGGCCTAGTTACAGTTTTGACTGAAATTGGCTTGAAAATCTATGGCAAGACTTGAAAATGGCTGTCTAGCAATGATCAACAACCAACTTGACAGAGCTTGAATAATTTCTAAAAGAATAATGTGCAAATATTGCACAATCCAGGTGTGCAAAGCTCTTAGAGACTTACCCAGAAAGACTCACTGCTGTAATCGCTGCCAACGGTGATTCTAACGTGTATTGACTCAGGGGTGTTAATACTTATGTTAATGAGATATTTCTGTATATAATTTTCTATAAATGTGCAAACATTTCTAAAAACATGTTTTCACTTTGTCATTATGGAGTATTGTGTGTAGAATTCAGGCTGTAAGACAACAAAATGTGGAATAAGTCAAGGGGTATGAATACTTTCTGAAGGCACTGTATATGGCCAATATTCACCCAGTTCCATCTCAAGATAGCAATTCATATTGAATATGGACTGATACAAGCTATGTCAGTTTATTAAGGACAGTACTACAATCAGAATGTAAGTGTGATCTGTAGGGTTTTTCTCTGTACAGACATGTGGTTGAGAATGCTCCAGCAACCACTAAGGAAACCCTCTGTCACACAAGCAGGAGGACGGTACTGACTAAAACAGTTGGAACATAAACTATACTCGTCACCAGGAATGTGTATTTCTAAATTGGTAGTACGTGGTGTCAAAGCCTCCGTCATCCTATGACCCTATAGGAAAGCTACCGTCATCCTATGACCCTATAGGAAAGCTACCGTCATCCTATGACCCTATAGGAAAGCCTCCGTCATCCTATGACCCTATAGGAAAGCTACCGTCATCCTATGACCCTATAGGAAACACACCGTCATCCTATGACCCTATAGAAAATGTGACGCAAATGTGGAAAAGTACAGAATTATTTTTACATGGAGCACATGTGCTCCTAAGTTGAAAAAAGTAGGAGAACATGAAGAAACTTAGGAGCACAATGACAAATATTTGAGGTATTAATTATAAGAATTGCCAGCAATTACAAAATATAGGGTTAAGAAGCACAATAAAATAGATTTTAGATGTAGCCCACATTGGGCCTATATGAATCCTAGTTACTTTTGAAGCTCAAATACCTGAAGAAGCTCTTCCTTTTCCTTTCCTTCTGTTCCACTAAATGTTATCATCTTGGTGATTTTTTTTCTAGGGGCACTGGTGCTCCCATATTAAAATTCCAGGTAGCACAGCAAAAATATTTAGGAGCATATGCGACCAAAGTGGTAGCACTATAGACCACCCAATGCCCACATAATGATATCCAACTTCCTAGGCATGACTTAACCTGTTGTTAAAGATCAGGAAATTGAAGTTATGGCAACCGGCATGATATTGTCTAACTGTCTGGCCTTACTACTTACTAATGCTGGGATAAACACTTTTAACAACGATTCAAAATATAGGACTACAGTACACTCGTATAATGAGTAGCCTAACTTTGTCTGGGACCTAACGACTTGTTAGCTTCAGCTCAGTGGGCTAAAGTGGTTTTAAGGTGTGTAGAGTAGACAATCAGAGTTCAATGTCTGGTCTGTCAACTTGAAGTGGTTCCTTCACGTGTATCAGCTGCTAGGGCTGTAGTGGGTGAAAGGGAGGTGAAATATAGCGCAGGTAGTTCAGCGAACTATCTATCATGTGATTAGAAGGTTTAGTGTCTAGTGTGGTCTGTATAATGTACACGGTGTCAGGTGATAAGTTATAATGCTACACTGTGTCAGTGGTTGTCATATATCCATTGGACTGGAAAATTGTAGTTTGCTCTTAGGTTAGGCTATTGGTCTTCGAAGGAAATGAAACGGCTATTTTATCAGATAATCGAACAATATTACAGAATCATCGCTTTTGAATAGTATAGCCTTTGCTAACCTATACAGATGACCAACCGTTTTTAATTGTCAGAGGTAGACCTACTTACAAAGCAAATGTTAGAAAATAAAATAACATGACAACATGCTTTACATCTGGCACATGGCAGATGCACTTCAGACTATGTAGCCAATTGTAGGAGTGGGAAATAGATGAATTCCTTCCCGAAATACTTTTTACCAGCATACTAAAGCATACCAGCATACTAAATCAGAAGGCGTCGTTTAGCGTGTAAACAGGCTCCTCCCATTTACAGTTAACCAAGATACAGATGTAAACTTTGTTGCATACGAACTATTCCAGAGTTGACTGGAGAAACACAAGCCCCATCTCCGCTCATAGGACTTTGAATTCATTAAGTCACGGGAGAACTGCAGGCAGACGACACTTGGAGAATACTTCGGCATTAGTTTTATTCAAGGAATTTATTTACTACACAGAATAAGACATGTCTGACCAGAAACAAGGGAAAGAAAGGCAGAGAGGTGGAAATAAAAAGGGTACAGGTAATAAGAAAGATAAAAAAGAGACACCAACGGACAACTCTCCACAAGGTAAACTGTCATTACTTTGATTTTTTAAATACGAAATAATTTATTAGCAAAAGTAGGCTAACGGAAAGTTATCGCTATTATGTATCTATTCAAACCCGGTATTTGTGAAGGTGAAAGTCGAGGTGAGTGCTACAGGTGTTTGGGTGAGTGAGGGTAACTTTAACTCAAGGCCACGAGTTGAAAACATGCCTACGGACTTTTAGTCCATGAAACACTCACTATTTTATTACGTCTAATGGAAACACACTTTTGCATTATTCGAAGATAAATTATTTGCTTTGACTAAATGGTGACTACAGTAAGTTTGGTCAGATAAAATTGTTGTTCCTTTCATAACCAAATTAAGCCGAAAACATTGTCTTCTTGGCGCACGTGAGACACAATTTAGTGAAACTTTAGCTAAACTTCTCATAGATTCTTTCTTATTTAAGTGCATAGATTTTTATCAAGTTAAAGATAGTTTATTTATTTTTGGCATTGCAATGTACTTATAGAAGAATTTGAATAGTAAAGTAGGCGCCCATCAAGAGTCGTTTATATCACAGTCCTGTGATTTGACAGGTGCAACCCGTTTTAAATTCCTGGTGTTCCTGATAAACTGTAGTTACGTGAACTTTAAAAAGTCAAAAATGCAAATAATTTATGCAAACAAGTTGCTTCTATCCATGGCTTTCTTTAACTGTCAGCCGTGGGAGTTCAATTTCTCAGAATTGTAATATCTAGGACAGATCATTGTTAATACGGGACACTTTCATGGCTAAAACGTCGGCTAACATCAGGAGTGGAAATATCTTGGGTTTGAAACACAACCTTACCCAGCTTTGATCCCTGTTGTTGAGTTTCCTGCTTGTGGCAGTGTCCATTTGGTGGCAGATGTGGAATAATTTGGGGGTCTTTGGGGAACTTCCTATTTGACAGGTGTTGGGTCCGTTTTTGCAAAGCTCAGTTACAGCCAGACCTATGCTGCTTTTATTGATAGTTTTATTTGTACAAATTCATAGATCTTCTGTCAATATGATGCAAAATGGAGTGCATTGGATTTGAAAACGCCAGACTAAAATCTGTGCCCATATTGATAGATGGCCTAACTGTGGTTTTTGCCATTGAGAGTGAATATTGTACATTGTCTAAGCAGATTCCACTGTGATATATATCATGCTATTAATCAAGTTATTTGTCCTGTGATCAACATGCACAGTAGGCTGAACGTACAGGTAGAGGCATAGTACAAAAGCATTGTGTTTGCTTGAGGCCTTTGACAATGCATTGTTCAATTCATTTCAATTCAATACACCTTTGAATTTTTCCTGGCCAAATACAGCATGGAGAGAATTCTGGTCAATGTGTTCAGCACTGCAATAAAATACAGGAATGCCATCAGTAGTCCAATGGCCGTCTCATTTCTGTACTGAACAGCGATGCATCATAATTACTGACAGCGGTGCAATCAAGCACATCCCCAGCAAAACTCTTCTGTTTGAAAACTGTGAAAATATGCTGCATTGTCTGATATATAAATTAGCACACAAACATGCTTTGAAATGATTGACAATGGCAATGGGGTTGGGCCCATCTTACTGTATGGTCGCTCTCCTCTCTACCAGAATGACTTTGAAGACCATAACATCTGCCATATCTTTTTAAAGAAATTATAGAGAATTAGACCAAAAGTTACTCTGAAGTTACCAAGCCAGTCACAATAGTCCTGGGTCTCCTGGTCAAGAAGTCTGGCGATGTCCAGACCTCTCAACTCTTGTCTGGAACACAGTATTAGATCATGGAATTCCTCCCTTACTGGCGTAGCATGGCTTGGAATGTTGACTGATCCGTGTAAATTTGCGGTTTGAAAAACGCGGAGGAGTTCCCCCAAAGGGAGCTCCTCCATGACATGGGGAAACAGCTGAAAAGGCTGGCCAGGACTTAGCGGTGTCCCGACCCTGAGCAAACAAAGAGATGGGCATAAATTAAGTTATCCCCCTTGCAGTTTTGCTCCCTCTATGTGCTTTTATAGCCACAAGGTTCATTTTCAGGCAGAATATGAATGGAAAATAGATGTTTAATGAACTCTGTCCATGTTGTTTGGCTTGGTGCTGGTTTCTGAAATGTTAGTGCTGTGTCATTGACAAAGTATGAACATAGATGTTCTTATGACATTTATTTTACAGGACAGATGATTGCATCTTCCTCCTCCAAAAAATCTTTAATTCTAGATAGATTTCCATCAAACTGGCAACAGACTTTCATGCGAATATTCAAAAATCGGCATAAAAACATTTTCCCACCAGAGATGTTTCCATCAAATTGACTTGTTGCGGATAAAAGACTGTGCATGACGTAGTGCACATAAAAATACCTTTTTGCATTAAATTCCCGTGTACCGAATAGAAGTTAAATGGGTTTCCATCGCATTTTCCCCTCTACTGATGGTTTTCTGGTGCGTTATGTTGCCATTTTCACCTCTACTGATGGTTTTCTGGTGCGTTATGTTGCCAGTGTGCCCACTCTGGCACTAGCATGTGCGCTCTAGACAACAGCTCGCATATATGTGGGTAGAGCCTACATGATGAGATTGTTACGGACAAAGAGCTAGATTATTTTTATTTGTCAAACGGCAGCCAAGTATCGATGATCATGTCACCAGAATAAGACCCCGATATTTATTAGAAAGGAGCATCAAACTGATCACCTTGGGGATGCAGGTAGTCTAGCGGTTAAGAGCGTTCGGCCAGTAACCGAAAGGTCACTGGTTTGAATCCGCGAGCCGCCAAGGTGGAAAAATCTGCCGTTCTGCCCTTGAGCAAGGCAGTTAACCCCCGGGCGCCGATGATGTCGATTAAGGCAGTCCCCCGCACCGCTCTGATTAAGAGGGGTTGGGTTAAAAGCGGAAGACAAATTTCAGTTGTGCAACTGACTAGGTATCCCCTTTCACTTTCACCACCCTGTGAAGTTCATAACCTATTTCATCTGTAGCCTAATAAACTGCTTGCTTTCCAGACAACGAGTCGTAGTGGGAGGACCACACAACATTTCTCGTTTAGTACATTTTACCGACACAAAAACTCCCACCTTGTCTAGTGTATTTCGATTTGTCGACATTTGGAAAGTTGACTTACAAATGTTCTGTTTCAGTCAGGCCTGTCATGCCTTTTTGTATCCGACATGTAACATCTCTCATTTGTCCACTGTCTGCATTGTGACCAGATTAAGTTGGTGCCTCCCTGTATGCAAATTATTTGACAGATATTCTTTCAAAATATGTTTGATCTATTTTTTGGTGTGACAATTACTGATGCCATAAGTCAATGATGCTACCTGTCAATGATTTGAGTGAGGTATAATGATAATTTAAATTGTTTGACCATCCAGATCTGTTTACACTTGATTAATATCCAGACATAATGCATGCCTGGTTCACTGGCTTTATTGTCCCCATGGGGAAATGTAGTTGCAGTATCTCGTACCTGTTTAATGTGGCGTTTAAATACAGTAGACAACAAATTGACAATACAAAATTCATAAGTTACATACAGTATATACCGATGAAAGAAAACCAGCCTGCTGGCCTCACTGGGTGGATAGGAACATTAACCCAAACTGTTTACGAGGGATATCACACCTTGCACAAATGATTGTCTAGTTCTGTTTAGTTCTAACTACCTCACAATCAGATCACAATGTGTCACTTTATTTTAATCGTCTCCACCTGTCTAAAAATGTTGGCACAATCAGAATGTGGACAAGATCAGGACAAAGGGTGCGTGTTAGAACCAGGTATAAAGATCTTATGGCTCATTTTATTAGTTGTATGACTGTTGCTTATTAATCGACTCTCCTGAAATTAAATGTAATAGTGCGCTAACAGTTATAGAAATGTAGGCTAAAGTATTAGCCCACTGGCCCCTCTCCCTAGTACAGTCATGACTCACAGAGCCGTGCCTCTGTTGGTCCCAAGTTGCACCACTAAGAGGATTAGGCTGAAACGAGAAGCGCTCAAATATGCAACTACGTGTACAGTATTGTTTTGTCTGAGGTCATATTTTCTTTCAGTAATGCGCTGTATTCCAGGTATTTCTGTCAGCCTCTTCCTCGCCAGTGTCTCTTTAGATGTTTGTCTATTTTCACAGGCGTAACCATCATGAGAATGTTAAAGTCCACAGTCATTTTTTAGTTGTTAGGTTACCTGTGAGAATAGAGCTTTTGTCTAAGCTTTTCAACAGTTGGGAATGTTGAGAAGTTAGTGTCAACACCTTGACACGAAAGGGCTCATGTTTCTTGTTTTTCAAGAGGGCTAGAATTACTTTTCCTCCCTTACTCAATGAATTCCATCTCATTTCTTATCAGATTAAATATTTTCTTTTATAGGAAAGGTTCCGTTTGGGTTGGGCTCCTGCTCTTCTAAAATGATCATTAAGGAAGTGAAAGTATAGCTGCTCTGACAAAGGGAGTTTCCCCACAGCAAACAAAAGGGAGGCCATGAATGAATGAACACACACACACACACTGATTTAGGTGGGAAACCCTTGTGTGATTCCCTCAAGCTTTGCCCAGTTCAGGCGCTGTGAGCTCTGTTGGGGTTGAGCAACAGTTGTGTAATAATGACAGATCTGCCCAGAAATGAATGGGGTTTAAGTTTAACCCAGCCCAGAGAGATCGCAGCGGTTCTGTGTCCAGTGTCTCCAGAGAGCTCTCGTAATGTACCTGTGTCAATTATCTGTTCCTTCAAAGAACACCTGGAGTTTGTAACCATGGATGAGATTCAGTCAAACATTTGGATTGAGAGTTTTGCTCTCTAATATGAATTTACATTGATGCACATATTTTTGTAAAATGTCAACTTCTGGCAAGTTAAGTCTCTTGAATAGTAAACTAGCATCCTCAACTATGCAAGAGTAACTTTTTATTTTACATGTTGACTTGTTCAAATTGGCTAAAAGAGATTGGTTGATAAAACGTTTATTTGATTACTGCAGATTTAAGTTCCTGCAGGCGCTAGTTAGCTATTGCTAAATGGTTTTTCTACATCACTTACAATGAATTGCCTCAGAGACTATCCAGAGGTTTAACCGCAGGAGGTCTCACTGAGCATTGGATCAACCGCAACAAGCAGAACCAAATGAATGTTTTACATGAACTCTGTGTTCAAAACTGTCGCTCTAGTGTGCATTAGACGTCGTTGAGGTATGGGGTGTTATGTCAAGACTGAATTCCTTGCCTAACAATATCAAATACCTTACACCTGCTCAAATATTGGCATAGTCTGAGTGCAACTAGTGATTTAACCAATACCTCTTCATTCATGTTCGATGGGAATATGAGCCCGACAGAGTTCCATGTTTGTGTGTGTTACATGATGGTGCACATACTGTAGTTAATGGTGTAAGTTTGTAAATACCAACAAACCATTGATTGATTAAAAAAGGTATCCATAGGGCCTCCCGAGTGGCACAGCGGTCTAAGGCACTACATCGCAGTGCAAGAGGCGTCACTACAGACCCGGGTTCGATCCCGGGCTGTATCACAACCGGCCGTGATCGAGAGTCCCGTAGGGCAGTGCACAATTGGCCCAGCGTCGTCCGGGTTAGGGGAGGGTTTGGCCCAGCGTCGTACGGGTTAGGGGAGGGTTTGGCCCAGCGTCGTCCGGGTTAGGGGAGGGTTTGGCCCAGCGTCGTCCGGGTTAGGGGAGGGTTTGGCCCAGCGTCGTCCGGGTTAGGGGAGGGTTTGGCCCAGCGTCTTCCGGGTTAGGGGAGGGTTTGGCCCAGCGTCGTCCGGGTTAGGGGAGGGTTTGGCCCAGGGTCGTCTGGGTTAGGGGAGGGTTTGGCCCAGGGTCGTCCGGGTTAGGGGAGGGTTTGGCCGGGGGGGCTTTACTTGGCTCATTGCGCTCTAGCGACTCCTTGTGGCGGGCCGGGCGCCTGCAGGCTGACCTCAGTTGTCAGGTGAACGGTATTTCCTCTGACACATTGGTGCGGCTGGCTTCCGGGTTGGGCGGGTCATGTTTCGGAGGACACATGACTCGACCTTCGCCTCCCGAGCCCATTGGGGAGTTGCAGCGATGAGACAAGATCGAAATTGGGGGTAAAATACACTTATAGTATGTTGTTTATTTGGGTCACTTTTGACACTTGGTTCACAGATTCACTTTGGTATCGCACAATAGCATGGAATTCTGAAACAATTTGGAGGATGTCAAAGCTGTGGCATGGCTTTTAGGGAGGATTTCTGGTTTCTTGCAATCATACCACCCTTCAAAAAAACAAAACACACCTGTGCATGCGCGTACACAACCACGCATCATTGACTGCCAAGTGAAGTTAATTTGTCACATGCACAGGACACATATGGTACACAGGAGAGCCCTGAACGGGCATGAAACCCTACCCAGGCCCGCAACGTTCAAACCCTACCCTACCCAGGTCCGCGACGTTCAGACCCTACCCTACCCAGCTCCGCGACGTTCAAACCCTACCCTACCCAGGTCTGCTACGCTCAGACCCTACCCTACCCAGGCCTGCGACGCTCAGACCCTACCCTACCCAGGCCTGCGACGTTCAGACCCTACCCTACCCAGGCCTGCGACGTTCAGACCCTACCCTACCCTGGCCCGCGACGCTCAGGCCCTAGTCAGGCCCGATTGCGTCTGCCAAATTTAAGGCCCGGCTCTGCCTGAAATCAGAGAGAACTTCCTCTGTTAGTAAATCCATTAGCTGCTCCTCTCTGTCTGTCACTATGTCCCTGCACGATGCTCGCTCTGCATGCACCCTGTTCATGGCAGCTCTGGGTCTGTGAGTATCCATAGCAACGGATCTGCTTGGGCTGCTCTGCTCAATGTCGAGACATGAGAGAGCAGTTAGCTGTTAGCTACTTATCGTCACTCTAAACTCACAGATTTTTTTCCCCCCGGTGAAATCTCTCCTGTTTTATATTTGACGAGGTCGACGCACTTCTGACACCATGTTATGATCTTAGTCAGATATGACTGTACTGCGCAGCAGAGCACGAGCAAATGGCTCAGCTTCAAAATGTTAGTGATCAATTTAGCGATAGCCGAGCCCTGCCCTAGTTATTGATGAGAAAACAGGCCCTACCTGGCCCTAACCCAATGTATAATGATAGGCTAGGGTCTGATAACAGAGCTCTGGTACACAGTGCAATGAAATGCTTACTTGCAAGTTCACTCTCAACAATGCTGCATAAAATACAAATAAATTACAATGAATTCCGACGAGTAAAAGTCTTCTTTGAGTCAGTCGAGCAGTGGGTGGCGAGGCATCTTTCCCTGCATTAGCCTCATTCCTTAGTAATTACTCTCTTCGACAGCTGCATTGACGAACCATTACTCAGATACAAGTTCTGGTGTCCCATTTCACATAGTTTTCTTTGAATAAGCATTGTTGGGATTTTTCTGCTGCTGTTTCATTAATGAATGAATACTGTTGGTGAATGGCGGTGAACAGAACAGTGGGTTGGCAGGATTAGCAAAGGTTATTCCAGATGAATATCCTTCCCCATGATGGACTGGTGGTCTTCTGCTGCTGTTTTTGAATACCTTGGGATTGTGACAATCGAGTAATACCACCTTTCTTTGGCAGGCCCAAACATTGATTTCTAAATCTCCTACTAACAAGTGATGTTTTGTACTGCACATTGACTAGGCCTAATTTTCAAAACGTTTGCCTCTGGGGGTGCTCTTGAGCTTAAATGGGTCCCTATAAATGGATATAAATATTATCCAGAAATTACCTCATTGGGCAGAAAGGTAGTGTTCCCCAAGGATTCTTTTCAGCTGCGGTGGCAGAGTTAGGGGGGGGGGGGGGGGGGGGGGACTGATGGACTGATGACTGACAGATGTAATAGGATTTGGGCTTTCAAAGCTCAGTTGGCCGGCCAAGGCTCAAACACACCCAGGGAGGTTACCCCCCCTCCACCCAGGGAGGTTACCCCCCACCCCCCACCCCACCCCACCCAGGGAGGTTACACCCCTCCAATGACAATAACAAATTAAATCCTACGGTAGGCTGCCCATCAATGTGTATGTTTTTGCTATTTTGAAAATCTTTCCTACTGGTACTACGGTGTCGTTAGAAGTGAAGTGAACCTGTTTTTTTTGTAATGTTTATTTTTTTTAAAGGAGAACGGTGCTACCCATTCTGCCTCACTCAGACATGAAGGAGAACAGTGCTACCCATTCTGCCTCACTTAGACATGAAGGGAACCAGTTATTTTTTTTAGGAGAACGGTGCTACCCATTCTGCCTCACTTAGACATGAAGGGAACCAGTTATTTTTTTTAGGAGAACGGTGCTACCCATTCTGCCTCACTTAGACATGAAGGGAACCTGTTTTGACCTGCTGTACTAACTGCTGCTGTATGACTGTTGACCTGGTTCTGTGTTGCAGCTGAGCCCAAGCTGAAGGAGATGAAGAGTGTGGAGGTCGTGGAGGGGATGAAGACATTCTTGAAGTGCGAGCTCGGAGCAGGGAACCCGTCCCCCAAATTGAAGTGGTACAAGGAGGGGGTTGAGATCGGCGGCGGCAAGAACAAACTGAAAGACACCAAGTTAAAAAGAAAGAAAGAGTAAGTACCTCCTCGTCAGTCCGTTAGAAGTCTTGAGTTCTTAATACGTTTCTAAGACTTATTGCCCTGTCCTTCAAAATTGTAATTTCATCCGATTAGAAGCTGTTTATTTGTGACATATGCAGAATCTGGCTGACAGTTGGAGCGGGGAATGATTCATGACTTGGTAGCTTGCACGACTCTTTTGGTTCTCGCCGAGGCGGCGTGAATGTTATTTACACCCACCCCCACAGCCACCTCTAGTCTCCAGCACGCCTCTGGTGGCATCTGACGGGGGCTGGACACCTGCCCCATCACCTCTCTGCCATATGCTTGTTTAGAAGATGAGAGGCTCATATCATTCCAACATAAAAGGGCCCGTATTCATAAAGCCTCTCAAAGTTAGAGTGCTGATCTAGGATCAGGTCCCATCTGTCCACATAATCGTATTTGTTATGATCTAAAATGCAAAACGGATCCTAGATCAGCACTCCTACTCTGAGAGGCTTTAAGAATACAGGCCCTGGTCAACAGTCAATTGAATCCTAGATAGTGTCATTTTCACGTGGAATAAACAAGACCCACCATTTAATACTGAATGGAGAGTAACTCCTTAGTTTCTCAGTATCAACACATTAAACCCAGGAATGGTTTCAAATTTGAACTGATTTCATATCATCTGAGTTCTTTTAATAGAGTGTCCATCTCAGGCCACTATGCACTGTATGTAGAGTAGATGGAAGACTCTGGTCCCAAATGTCTCTGTCTCCTACAGAGGGAAAGTCTCTGAGCTCCACTTCAAGAAAACCACTGATGCACACGCTGGCTCCTACACATGCGAAGCCATCAACAACCTGGGAAAAACCAGCACCGTCGGTAACGTGACGCTCCTCCGCGGTAAGCCCATTCATATACAACGTTTAACCTTAAAATGTTGACATTATTGCTTCATGACAGCTAATTGCAGAGGTAGTATGTGAAAATGTGCGTGTTGTGTTCATTGGGGGCTTTGTAACTGAATGAGTAGCATTGAGGTGTCCCTCCTCAGGCCCAGAGTGGAGATGATGTGGGGGTTACGGTCCCCTAGGTGGGGTTAGGGTCCTCTGGGTGGGGTTAGGGTCCTCTAGGTGGGGTTAGGGTCCTCTGGGTGGGGTTAGGGTCCTCTGGGTGGGGTTAGGGTCCTCTAGGTGGGGTTAGGGTCCTCTAGGTGTGGTTAGGTGGGGTTAGGGTCCTCTAGGTGGGTTTAGGTGGGGTTAGGGTCGTCTGGGTGGGGTTAGGGTCCTCTGGGTGAGGTTAGGGTCCTCTAGGTGGGGTTAGGGTCCTCTAGGTGTGGTTAGGTGGGGTTAGGGTCCTCTAGGTGGGGTTAGGGTCCTTTAGGTGGGGTTAGGGTCCTCTAGGTGGGGTTAGGGTCCTTTAGGTGTGGTTAGGGTCCCCTAGGTGGCTTGGTCCACTCGTCATAGAGCCACATCAGAGGATTCTGGCCTGACACCGAGTTGCTCTGAGGGAGAGCGAGCTCTTCACCTTGTGCTTGTCCATGCTCCTCACTGGCATTTTAGTCAATAGGGGGCAGCTGCCATTTCTAACCTGACGTTTCAGTTTAATAGTACTGCAGACCATTTTCCATGAAACAACCAATCCAAGCTAAAAGGTCCTTTATTGTAAGCTGTTTCACAGATTCACCAACACAGGTAAGTCTGAACATTTAAGAGTTTGATTTTAAAACACGTTTTACTAGTTGTGGTATCCAGATACATATTGCAGCATGTTATAACATTTTAAGTCGTCACAAGATGTTGAAATACAGGTTATAAATGCCGACTGTGCAAACGGTGTAACTTGCCCAAAGCACGTACAGTCTGTTCTGCGCTAGAGCAACTTATGTGCTCCGCCTTTTCTCACTCCGCCGGTTTGCCAGTCTCGCCAAAAAACACTGACGTTGATCAACTTCTGACTGATCGAAGAGAAAATCCCGGGGCCATTAATATCGCAAACAGGTAAATGCTCGATGTCACGCTGGCTCCAAGTCTCATCCTCTCCTCTCCACTCACACACAATTTTGCGACGTTGCAAGAGTGATCAGTATGCGGGCCAGTTTAAAGCGACCACTCAATCACTTCTTTCAATTAGCCAGTAGTACTTCTCTGAACGGCTGCCAATGGAGAGAAAAGGGCCATGTCAGCCACCTCTTGACTGAGGCGTTAGCCCAGCAATGACAAGCGGTGGGAACCCCTGGAAGCCGTCTATGCTAATCACCGCTAGTTAGCCCTGTTTGACGTGGACAGCTAGGAGACTGAATCATTCACTCATTGTATATTTTATATTCTGTTGCTGGCAGCGGCAGGTGATATGTTACCCTGGTCTGCAGTATCTTGTCATTTCAGGTCTCATTCTCTAATCACGTTAGGCCTACTGTGACACACACGATAGATTTGATTGGCTGGCTAAGGTTAGCGACACTTGAGCACATCTGATATCTACGAGAACATACTGGATTATCAGCTTTGACGTGCTTCATCTCTGTTGGCCCCTTGTACATATCCAAGTTCTTTACTGTGCCACAGTTTAGGATTTCGCTGTACTCTGGTAAATTGCGTTAACTGCATCAGACTAAAGTGCAAATTAATTCCTGGTGTTCATTTCTATTGATGTAATCTCCTCCATTTTCTGATCCTATTTTTAAAGTCACACAATGGCAACTTGATATAGCGGTCTGTCCTCTTGAAATAATGGTCTGTCCTCTTGAAATAACTGTTTTGTCCTGTCTTTCTCACATAAAGTCTCTCGGTTGGCAAACAGGCTAGGGTAAACAGCGAAATAATTAGTATACTTCAGTTTTTGCTGGGTATTACTCAGTTTTGCAGTGGAATGTGAAGGATTTTAACCCTAATCACCTTCAGGTGTGTTGGAGACATTTGTACCCACCTACCCAGCGGGCAAAAGTGGTTGTAATGACTGCATTTCAACCACATATGCCCACTAGATACTCGGCAGGGGTCGGTGGGGGTTGGTAGGGGTGGCAAGAGGAACCCTGGTCTAATGGAAATGCGGAGTTAAACTCCCTTACAGACTCACTATGAAAAATGAATGTATGTACTAAAAATTCTCGCAGTAAGAGTTTTGTTGAGGGTTGCGGCACTAAAAAGGCCCTTTCCTAAACCAGCATGCCCCTGCTACTCCTTCCGCCCTTGGCATCTATTTACAGTGATTAGCTGGTTGCTTTCAGCTATCTCATTTGGATGCTAATTAGGTTTTGGGGGCTAACGTTTGCGGTCGAGCAGTTTGATATTACTAATGTGTATTTGCAGTGTTATTCTACTCTCTGGGCGAAATGTGTGTTTGACCTCCACTGTAATGGAGAGGATTTCTCTTCAAGTTCAGAGTGGGTTATTTCTTGGCATTTTATAGAATGTTTTCAGTGTTCTATTTCTATGGTCCTCTAAGCTCTGCAAGGTTGTGTGTGACTTGGTCTCTGGCTTCTCTACTTAGCTAAATATCAGGCTGTTACCTTAAACCTATCATGAGATGAATTTTGATTGCCATTATTATCATAGTTACATGGTTACCAACTAATTATCATACCAGTAGACGGTGTGCTCTGGTGCTACTATAATATTCAATAGGAACAAGGTGCAGGCAGGAACTGTAAACAATACGTAAAGGGAATGACTTTATGTTGCATCAGGAATGTCTCTTAGGACAGTGTGTTTATTCATTACATTTGTTTTGCATGGACTATTATTAACTCACCTTGACTGCATTGTTATCTGAACACCTCCAATTTGGAGCCAGTTCTCTCTGGTTTCAAGGAGCCCTACTGTTTTGCGAAGGCATTTTTTGGCACCATGAGTGATGATCTCCATACTGTGCAGTGCGGTAATGGAATTGCCTACTGAGAGGGTGTTCAGTCGCCAGATTCCCAGGGGTAACAATCGTGACTGTGGATAACCTTGACATGCACAGACAGACAGTTTCCGTTATTACAAGGGTACACAATAACGGCAAGAACAAATATCAGATGATGTCTTAAACAAGATACAAAGGCAGTCAACTAGATAGTCCCTGGATTGGATCTCAGCCAGAACTGCCATTTTGTCCTTTCAGTGTCATCTCCCTTCAATGAAGAAACATTTAACTAGCCCTTTTCCTGCAACTTGAAAGCACAGGCCATCACTAGGCCATCCATGGTCACCCTGCTCTGTCTTAGTTGGGGCTTTTCATTTGTTTACCCTTAAAGGGAAGTCATTTCTCAGTGTTTCCTGGAACATAATGACCCCCATCAGCCAATTGTAGCGGGGAATTGATGAGGCTTGAGCAGAGACGGCCTAGCATCGGAAGGTCACACAGAATGTGAAAAGCATGTTGGTCTCCTCCTCAAATCGTTTGAATATTTGAATCAAATTTGTCCTGTTCACCAAAAACCTTTATAAGATTAGGTTTTGACATTTTGTCGAGATATTCTCTATTTTTCAGCCTATTTCCACACTTCAGTGAGGAGTGATGTGTGGTCCGAAACTGTGCCATCTGACTCATCAAAAGTTGGAATGGGTTCAAAGCAAAATTGCCCTTAAGAAATATACTGTCCTTTTATAAAAGCTGTTTTGAACATCCACGAAATGTATTGTTTTAAGTTAACACAGCCTTTTAATGTGGACAGAAGGTTGGAACGAGGGTAGTGGGAAAATGGGCTCAGTGTTATAAAGTGATGAGTGAGCTGACATTGCAGTTGGTGGAAAATGGATGGCTCGCGGCCTCGAGAGGCTTGGATTTGGCTGGCAGAACTAAACTGTTACAGAGATCATTAGCCTTGGCTATTTGCATATTTAGGACCCAGGTATAAATTGGAGATTTGAACCTTGTCATCAGATGCTATTCTACTTCTTCTCTTGAAGTATGTTCTATGAACAGGCTGATTCTGCTGACGGCTTCAACCTATCCCCATGAAGTGTTTCCCTGTATCGGCAGATACATCATTCATGCCTAATTGAAAATAAAACAATCTGAAATACTTGTGGAGACATTTTCTAATGTTCGAAGAAGGCAATGTGATGTCGAAATGACTGGGAGCTTGTATAAAGAGTGTAACTCTCTTATTTGTATAGCCTACAGTGTACTCTTCGTTAGTCAGCACCTCTAGTAACTGTTTCTGGGTGTACGCCAGCTCATGCCTTTCACTAGACATTTCTAATGTGACACAATATGCATGTGTCGTGTCAGACAACGTGTTATCTAGGCCTGCTATATTGTGAGACTGTTTCCAAAGCCTTTTCACACATCTCCATTCAAGCATGGTCGACAACACTTGCTACTCTTTTTTTTTTCTTCCTCAGCCAACGTCGCAATATGGTGAGGGATTGTTGTTTCGCTGGAACTGGAACATGAACATCTGTGGTCAGGTTAGCAGCACTACATGCTTTAGGACACGTCTGGAGCACATGTCCGGGCAATAAGCAGATGTTGGGCTGTGTGGAGGGATAGTATGTCAAACAAACCCACGTCAGTCATCCCAGGATAAGGCCTTTCTGCGAAGAAAACAGACAATGTCATGTCAATGGTATTTGGACATGACGCCATTAAAAAAAAAAAATACTAAGCACATGTCATGTTTTCTTAAGCCCACTATCTACATGGCTCTCGTTTCAAATACAGTGCATTAATTAAAACGTCTAGACATCTATGACTGTTGTCTGGTGGATATAGCGCTCATCCCATTGGAGTGACTGGCCAGGTCAGGGGAACTTCCCGATGACAGGATTCATTTCCTGCAATTCCGCCTTGCTAGGATCATTGTAAATGTTTATCGATGTGTTACGTTTCACAGGAGATATGAGGTTAATCTCTTAAATTGAATGTGTAATCCTTTCGATTACACTTTAACAGGAAAAACAAACGTCTGCTAATGCTATGATTCGTTTTCTGATTAGAAGAGGCTTCCATTCGGTATGAATGGTTTGAATAGGCCCAAATGAGGAGGGGTTAACTTGGTCAGGGATATGAGGCACTAGAAGGATCTCTACATAGGCACACTATTGGTCTTGTACTCTTGGCTAGTTCCTGTTCAATGTTGTCAGAGGGGTTCGTGAACACCCAATATGCCCTCTGTTTGGTCTGCCCTTGGGAATGTTATGTCTCTCTCTGCTGGTGAATGGTATGTCTCTCTCTGCTGGTGAATGGTATGTCTCTCTCTGCTGGTGAATGGTACGTCTCTCTCTGCTGGTGAATGGTATGTCTCTCTCTGCCGGTGAATGGTATGTCTCTCTCTGCTGGTGAATGGTATGTCTCTCTCTGCTGGTGAATGGTATGTCTCTCTCTGCTGGTGAATGGTATGTCTCTCTCTGCTGGTGAATGGTATGTCTCTCTCTGCTGGTGAATGGTATGTCTCTCTCTGCTGGTGAATGGTATGTCTCTCTCTGCTGGTGAATGGTATGTCTCTCTCTGCTGGTGAATGGTATGTCTCTCTCTGCTGGTGAATGGTATGTCTCTCTCTGCCGGTGAATGGTATGTCTCTCTCGGTTGTGTAACAGGGAACGTGAAGAGAGAGACTGCTTATTTTAATAGCACATAGATCTAGATGGAACAAAGGCGCTGACTAGAATGTGTTTAGCTTTCTTGTTTTGATCCATTTTCTCCATCCGTGCCTGGAGGATGGCTTTGAAGCTTTCCAATCCCTCGGGCACTCCTCCTCCTCCTCACATCTCATCCTCTGTTAATGTGTTCCGATGATGAGTTATATCCACCAGCTTATTAGGCCTTCTCACTTTCTCTTTCTCTTTCTGTTTCTCACTTTCTCTTTCTCACTTTCTCTTTCTGTTTTTCACTTTCTCTTTCTCACTTTCTCTTTCTCTTTCTGTTTCTATTCTCCACTTTCTCTCTTTCTTCTCCTTTTCTCTCTTTTCCTTTCTTTCTCTCTTCTTCTTCTCTCTTCCTCTTCTCCCTTTCCTCTCCTTTCTCATTTCCTTTCCCTCTTTCTCCTCCTCTTCTTTCTCTTTCCCCTTTCTCTTCTACTTCTCCCTTTGCTTTCCTTTCTCCGCCTTTCTCTTTCTTTCTCACTTCCTTTCTCACTTCTTTACTTTCTCTCTCCTTTCTCTTTCTCACCTTCTTTCTCCTTCTCTTTCTCCTTCTTCTCTTTCTTCATCTCCTTTCTCTTTCTCTTCTCCTTTCTTCACTTTCTCTTTCTTTTCATCTTTTCTCATCTCTTTCTCACTTCTCTTTCTCACTTTCTCTTCCTCTCTCTTTTCTTTCTTTCTCACTTTTCTTTCTACTTTTCTTCTCATTCTCTTCCTTCTTTCTCTTTCTCCTTCTCCTTTTTCTCCTTTCTTCTTTCTCACTTTTCTTTCGCTTTCTCACTTTCTCTTTCTCACTTTCTCTTTCTCACTTTCTTTTCTCACTTTTTCTTTCTTTTCTCACTTTCTTCTTTCTCACTTTCTCTTTCTCACTTTCTCTTTCTCACTTCTCTTCTCTTTCTCACTCTTAATGTGACAATGGGCACTTTTCCCCCCCATTCACGCACAGTTTCGTAGTCAAAGTGGGTGGATTTTACTTTCTCTGCATTTCTGACTGAAGCAGTAGGCTAATGCACGTACCCAATGCAGTGTCAATGTATGCAAAGACTGAAAGTCAATTGTGATGTTTTCTTTTTGTCTCTGATGGGAGGGTTTTTCTTTGACGCACTGAACTGTCTTCATGACAGATTGTAGAATCCTATCTTTCATCAAGGATTCCGTAAGCTTTTGACACACACATTTCTCATCTGTTGAGGGGATTTTTGCTTTGCTTCCTTCACAAGATAAAACGTATGGACGGAGACAAAATGCCTGCTCCATGACACTTCAGTATGGGGAACTACAGTATGGGGAACTACAGTATGGGGAACTACAGTATGGGGAACTACAGTATGGGGAACTACAGTATGGGGAACTACAGTATGGGAAACTACAGTATGGGAAACTACAGTGAGGGGAAAAAAGTATTTGATCCCCTGCTGATTTTGTACATTTGCCCACTGACAAAGACATGATCAGTCTATCATTTTAATGGTAGGTTTATTTGAACAGTGAGAGACAGAATAACAAACAAAAAATCCAGAAAAACGCATGTCAAAATTTTATAAATTGATTTGCATTTTAATGAGGGAAATAAGTATTTGACCCCTCTGCAAAACATGACTTAGTACTTGGTGGCAAAACCCTTGTTGGCAATCACAGAGGTCAGAAGTTTCTTGTAGTTGGCCACCAGGTTTGCACACATCTCAGGAGGGATTTTGTCCCTCTCTTCTCCAAGTCATTAAGGTTTCGAGGCTGACGTTTGGCAACTCGAACCTTCAGCTCCCTCCACAGATTTTCTATGGGATTAAGGTCTGGAGACTGGCTAGGCCACTCCAGGACCTTAATGTGCTACTTCTTGAACCACTCCTTTGTTGCCTTGGCCGTGTGTTTTGGGTCATTGTCATGCTGGAATACCCATCCACGACCCATTTTCAATGCCCTCACTGAGGGAAGGAGGTTCTCACCCAAGATTTGACGGTACATGGCGCCGTCCATCGTCCCTTTGATGCGGTGAAGTTGACCTGTCCCCTTAGCAGAAAAAAACCCCCAAAGCATAATGTTTCCACCTCCATGTTTGACGGTGGGGATGGTGTTCTTGGGGTCATAGGCAGCATTCCTCCTCCTCCAAACACGCCAAGTTGAGTTGATGCCAAAGAGCTCGATTTTGGTCTCATCTGACCACAACACTTTCACCCAGTTCTCTGAATCATTCAGATGTTCATTGGCAAACTTCAGACGGGCCTGTATATGTGCTTTCTTGAGCAGGGGGACCTTGCGGGCGCTGCAGGATTTCAGTCCTTCACGGCGTAGTGTGTTACCAATTGTTTTCTTGGTGACTATGGTCCCAGCTGCCTTGAGATCATTGACAAGATCCTCCCGTGGAGTTCTGGGCTGATTCCTCACCGTTCTCATGATCATTGCAACTCCACGAGGTGAAATCTTGCATGGAGCCCCAGGCCGAGGGAGATTGACAGTTATTTTGTGTTTCTTCCATTTGCGAATAATCGCACCAACTGTTGTCACCTTCTCACCAAGCTGCTTGGCGATGGTCTTATAGCCCATTCCAGCCTTGTGTAGGTCTACAATCTTGTCCCTGACATCCTTGGAGAGCTCTTTGGTCTTGGCCATGGTGGAGAGTTTGGAATCTGATTGATTGATTGCTTCTGTGGACAGGTGTCTTTTATACAGGTAACAAGCTGACATTAGGAGCACTCCCTCGTTACCTGTATAAAAGACACCTGGGAGCCAGAAATCTTCCTGATTGAGAGGGGGTCAAATACTTATTTCCCTCATTTAAAATGCAAATCAATTTATAACATTTTTGACATGCGTTTTTCTGGATTTTTTTGTTGTTATTCTGTCTCTCACTGTTCAAATAAACCTACCATTAAAATTATAGACTGATCATGTCTTTGTCAGTGGGCAAACGTACAAAATCAGCAGGGGATCAAATACTTTTTTCCCTCACTGTAACTGTCATGGTGAACAGAGTAGGCCTACTCATCCCTGCTTTAGCATTTGTTTTCCTCTCTTTGGCTGTTGATATAGCCTCGTTTGACAGACCAAGGTGACTGAACACAACCGAATTTTGAGAATGTGACAAAATGACAAAGCCAGAGAGATTAACAGTACCATCACTGTTGTCCCTGCTGTTCCCAACCGTGGTTTAAGAGCAGGCTGCGTAATCACCCAGCATGCTGCATGGACCAGTACTGTAATATACTAGTAGAGAACAGCATGCTGCATGGACCAGTACTGTAATATACTAGTAGAGAACAGCATGCTGCATGGACCAGTACTGTAATATACTGGTAGAGAACAGCATGCTGCATGGACCAGTACTGTAATATACTAGTAGAGAACAGCATGCTGCATGGACCAGTACTGTAATATACTAGTAGAGAACAGCATGCTGCATGGACCAGTACTGTAATATACTAGTAGAGAACAGTGTGCTGCATGGACCAGTACTGTAATATACTAGTAGAGAACAGCGTGCTGCATGGACCAGTACTGTAATATACTAGTAGAGAACAGCGTGCTGCATGGACCAGTACTGTAATATACTAGTAGAGAACAGCGTGCTGCATGGACCAGTACTGTAATATACTAGTAGAGAACAGCATGCTGCATGGACCAGTACTGTAATATACTAGTAGAGAACAGCATGCTGCATGGACCAGTACTGTAATATACTAGTAGAGAACAGCATGCTGCATGGACCAGTACTGTAATATACTAGTAGAGAACAGCGTGCTGCATGGACCAGTACTGTAATATACTAGTAGAGAACAGCGTGCTGCATGGACCAGTACTGTAATATACTAGTAGAGAACAGCGTGCTGCATGGACCAGTACTGTAATATACTAGTAGAGAACAGCGTGCTGCATGGACCAGTACTGTAATATACTAGTAGAGAACAGCGTGCTGCATGGACCAGTACTGTAATATACTAGTAGAGAACAGCGTGCTGCATGGACCAGTACTGTAATATACTAGTAGAGAACAGCGTGCTGCATGGACCAGTACTGTAATATACTAGTAGAGAACAGCGTGCTGCATGGACCAGTACTGTAATATACTAGTAGAGAACAGCGTGCTGCATGGACCAGTACTGTAATATACTAGTAGAGAACAGCGTGCTGCATGGACCAGTACTGTAATATACTAGTAGAGAACAGCATGCTGCATGGACCAGTACTGTAATATACTAGTAGAGAACAGCATGCTGCATGGACCAGTACTGTAATATACTAGTAGAGAACAGCATGCTGCATGGACCAG